AACAGAAGAGAAGCCAAATTGACTACTTCCTGATCCCATAAGACGACCTTAGGAACGTCAAAGATTGCAAAGTTATCCCCGGGAAACTGCCACAAGCCATCACCGGCTATTGGTCCTAGACCCCTCTCTCTGAAACAGCCAATTCAGGCGGTGGGCACGATGACAGCCATGAAGATAGAGTGGTGGCAGCTCGAAGAGTATCTGAAAGATGCGTTCAAAATGGAAGTTGCGAGAAAATGACGACGATAAGAGGTACAGGATATTTTACGAAGTATGTGAACAGATGATCAGCGTAGACATCGAGAATGCCATTTGTCCAGTAAGTGAAACAAACGGTAAAGCAACCATCAGGAAACGAACGAACGAACGGAACAATGGAATGCTGAAGTGCAGACGACTGTACAATAGAAGAAGGAGCTGTCTAAGAAGTGGCAACAATCACACAGCTCAAAAAATAGGGTAGAATATGCCTTGGCAAAGAAGAAAGCAAGAATGTTTCCGCTGAAGCAGAGTCAATGGCGTGCAAAAGCTTGTACGAAAAAGAAAGATATATATTGCAAAGGGAAAGCCAGATAGAGAAGAATAAGTGACACTGATAAGACGAAGACGAAAACTGAGGAGAAAAATATTCGCAATCGATGTAGAGTAAAATTTCAAGCAGAAATGAGCGAAAAATATTTCAGACAGACCTTGGATAAGTTGAAACAAATTTCACCCGGTGAAGTGGAACAAGCCTTTAGCCGAATGAAAGGATAAACCCTTTAGCTCGAACAGGGTTTTTATGGAAGCAGGGAAGTCATCTGTGAAAGAAAGCGTGGTTTAATAAAACCGTAGAATGTGAAAAGATGTCGGAATCATAGAAGAAGAACATTTGATGTTAATATACAAAATGAAAGGGGGTATCTTGGCCAATGAAAACCACTGGCGAATGAAACAGCTGTTGTTGCATCATGAAGCTATTAAAAAGTGCTGAATATAGGACTGAGGAAGATCTATATTTCCACGACCTAATTTCGCTTTATATCAGACCAGAAAAATTACCTATAGCAACTTTTAATTCAGATTAGTCTTCTAACATACACAGATGGCTGCGCGGACATTCGCATGGCGTTTCCGGAGCTGGAGACAGCTTTCGATTGAATACTAAGGCAGACAGTCCGGAGGAGAATTAAAAAGAAGCTGGTGTCAAAAGAATAAGCCTGACTTACTAGAGTCACAGCCATAGTACGAAGCATATGCGGAGAAACGGAGGAGTCCTTTAAAAATCTACAATGGGCTCATTTCCGTTCTTGTTGGTAACACATGCGATGAACAACGATCCGCAGGAAGTAACCACATAGAACACGCTCTACGCAAATGACATTGTGCTGAACAATGAAATCAGAGATGCAGTGGAAGCAAAAACCAAGCATGGACTACAGTTGATGAGAAGAAAGACTTTCAACTCAGGAAAGGCAATCAGAATATATGGCGGGCTATTTCAGTGAAAGTAGCGGAGGGGGGGGGCGCTGCCTCAAACACAAAAATTCAAGTATCTTGTTGCCATTCTACAAAATAGTGAATAGTGAGGAAACCAGCAGTGAATTATGAAGTAAGACAAAGAAAGCATGGCTCAAATAGAGACAGGTGAGCGGGAAAGGGAAAGGTTATTGAACGATTATAAGGCTGCTGCCTCTGCACCAAGCAGAATGTTAAGCTACCATGAAGTTATACAAATAACAGCTGAATTCGGTACAAATGCGAATGATCAGATGCATATGTATTGCCAGAAAAAACCACATTCAAAATGCCTTCAAGAGGCATTTTGGACATACAAACGTGCCAACAACATCAGTGAGGCTGAACATTG